CATAGTTAATTTGGCCAAACATATTTTATAAAAAATTTATATTCTGGTAACTTGTTTGCAAACAGAGTTATAACTTAATAAAAATTGTCATTCCATATTGAAACATTACATTTTACTGGAAATATATGCTGATATGACTGAATTATTTTAGAGATATGATGGATCGGCAAGCTGAATTAAATTTATCATATACTGCACTTAATATTTTTAGACAGTCTTCAGAATATAAATGCCTTCACTTGCTCACACGGTTCCATGATATTTTTTATAATTGTCATAATAAAACCCAGAATTTTTGTAATGAAGTAGCAAATGGTGGCAGTATTTATTTTCAATGTTCAGAACAAAAGTAGCCAGAGACTGTAAGCAGTTATTCTTGTCAACAGCATAACTGCACATTTAAGAGGACTGACATTCCAATTTTTACCGCGTTTTCTACGATCTGTTGTGCTGCCTGGAAAATAAGGCATTGCTGTTATTTCATGTAACAGTAAAGAAATGTAGTGTGGAGGATACCATTTTAAAATGAAAGATAGTTATAAAACATCTCTGCTGTCATGTAGAAATTTACAATTTATTTAGTTATTATATAAAATGTTCAGATCTCTAGAGTGACATTTCATACCAGGTGTATTTCTTTCTGTGCCACCCAGTGTCAAGATAAATTGTAAAGGCCAGGTTTTGATCCGTGGGGATAGTGCTATAAGAACAACTGGTATTTTATTAACTGTCAATTTACACAAATATTTTCTTCAGTCTTCCCTTGTCTTTATATTTATTGAATATTGAAGTTGTGGACAAATGTTTGAAAAATTATAATGTATTATGAAACCCTACTGTCGTGCTATATTATTTTCCACGAGTAAATATAACCTTTTCCAGGCATTGAACCAAAGGTCCCTCACTTTCTGTGAGCATCACTGCTCTATAGTTTATTTTGCAGTTAAATTTCCTTATTCCTTCATAAATTCCTTTTCTCATTCCCTCGTCTACATTTTTTCAGTTAATAGCCAGTGAATTAGTTGCATTAACCATCTCTGTTCTTTCATTCTTTCCACATGTCCATATCGTTGCCACATTTTGTCTGCGCGGAGTCCATTCTGCAAAATCTGATTTCCTACTTTCATTAGAGATTCACATAAAGTCAGCTCCTGATATATGCAATATCATATTTTCTTTCTTGTCTAGGTTCACTAGAATTAACATTTTCTCCATCATAACAAAACCCCAATGGCAAAGAAACAAATCATCCCAGAAGGAGATGGAAACACAAATTCTTGGACATCTTATCAATGCCCGTTCCTGTAGAACATTCATTTACAATAACTCCTTGGATTTGGAATGCTACCATTTACATTACTGATCCCATGTAACAACTCAAATCCTTCTGTGTCACTAGGTGGGTTTTTTTTTTACCTGAGAACATTTTATTAACGCCTTATTTTTTACAACTGAATATTCCAAATAATTTGGAAACAAAATTGTACAGCGCTCTATTGAAAGTTATTAAAATTCTTAACAATACATTTGTATTGCTACAGATGTTGTCTAGCAGTGGTGATATTTTACCAGGGGATCCTTTGAAATTACATATGGGATAATGAATTTTTCTCGGGCTACCAGCCATGTCGGGCGGCTGAATGGAGAAGATGCTGTTTCTCGGTCCTCGTTCTCAGGGTGGCGGCTGAATGGAGAAGATGCTGTTTCAAGAACCGTCTCGGTCCTCATTCTCGGGGTACTTAACTTCATTATACTTAGTCACCATTAAAGCTTCACATCATACATATAGGATCTTCATGTGTGCAATGCAAGGATGGTGGTATAGATAGAGGAGACTGTATTTGTTTTGAAGATCTATACAGGATCTGCCATTTAGAAATCTTTTGCTCATCTGCTTGTTTTGAAGATCTATACAGGATCTGCCTTTTGCTCATCTGCCAGGATTCCATGAGTTTGATTTTTGAAATGTTTTAAATACATTTTACAGAGTTTTTATATTAAACCTCTGTGAAAGATGACTGAGGAGAGGTTAGGTAATATTAAACAGATCTTTGGGAAATATTTCATATGAAAATGTAACTTGGGTTCTCTCATACAAATGAGTATCCTAAAAAGTGTATTATATTAGTCATTTATTCTTGCAACTCTTTATCACAGTTGTGTTGTTGGCTTGAGTAAAACTAATCTACAGGATAATTTCCCACATCTGAAATAGAAACTTAAGTTAGATTGATTAAGAAGTTTGCAACATGAATGTGACAAGTTTAATGAACAGAATTACAAAGTGTTTTTACATTACAGAAATAAGAAATTACACTTCATTCAGCATGATATTGAAATCAGATGGTGTTCGAAAGTAGTTTTCCATGATGAACGTGGTTTTCTTTCCTACCTTGAACAAAGCATTTCTCCACGGTAGCAATGAATGTATGAATGAAATATGCCTTCTAACTTCACCTGCACAGAAACTTTTGTGATAGGTGTTGAAAGGTAATAATCCTTTCAGAATGCCAATATATGAACTAGTTCCTTCATGATGGTATATCCTGAGTGGATACTTCAATGTTATAGCAAAGACACCAACATTGAACAGTATAAAAGCACTGACCATTATAAACAGCTCAACATCAACTTTAATTTCATTGAATTCACTCATCCCAAATGTCAAAGGAAAATTAATTGTGGTGTTTAAAAGATACTTATATGCACCAACAACACCCAATGATAAAATACTGATGCTTGAAGTTATTTGTGCCATAGTCATATATGAGGTCATTGGTGCTCTATATATTAATGTATACTCATTAGGTATTTTATCAATGGATTTCAGCCTTGCTTCTGTCTTTTGAGTAAACTGAATTCGACTGAAATGCCTGCATGTTGGATGGAGGGTGACTGGACATCCAGTTAATGTACCACATTGATACGTGACCAATCTTGGCACTGTGATAATGCAGAAGACCCTCTTCAGTGAATATGCATACATCATGTCTCCTATAGTGATAGGAAAGCCAAACTCCTATAGATACAGCTGAGTTCTTAACAGGACCTGCATGTAAACAAACATGGCACATGCTTAGAAACCAGTATTATTTCAAATTATATATAAGTATTACAAACTGCAGTTGTGCTCATATTTCTCTATCACTGTCTGCTATGATAGCATTCAAATTATGCTAGATGCTGTCAATTATTTACATAATTGCTGTAAGTAGAAACTAATAAAAAAAACAATGATGGTTGTGTCTGACCACTACATAAAATATCATGCTCGTAAACATCAACGTTTAAGAGTGATTATAAATTACAAATGCATCGGAAATATCCACGCTTTATATTAACTGACAGCTAATCCAAAAAAAAAAATGTGATTATTACCTTGGTTTGTCTGTAACGTGTACTTTTGTGTCGGAAAAATGTTAGGTTATGTGCTGATGAAAGCAACTAAATTTAAACTTCTTAAAATCTAACACCTTCAGTGTAATTTTCATTAATATTTAAAATTCTGGACGATTACAGCTATCCCAAAAACGAACTTCACTGCAACGCTATGTGTAAATTCGTGCTGTCCCACAAATTCCATGGTTGGCATCCATTCTCAAAAACCCTTGCATCGTTTCCACAGATCGATAACAACCAATATAAATACCGAATATGCATTGTGTGAGACCCCAAAAATCTAATCCCGGTAATTTTGTTATTGTGAGATTTCTGGTTCTCAAAGCTGCAAGTATGATAATTGCCATCACCGCCCTATTGGCCTGTTATTGTTTATAACACTCAGGTTTCTTAAAATTGTGAAAGATCATGAAATAAGGACGCCCATTAGGATTAACATTACAGTTACTATATTGGTAAGTGTTTGATGGAGGCAGTAAGCATCTCTGTAACGTCGTAAAACTTCTGCCAGACTACAGAACGCAACAACACGCACTGTTCGTAGGTTTTGAAAGATACCTTCCTGTAAGCATGATTCCCATTTGCAGTCGCTATCATAAAGGCAGAAGACTATATTCTAATTTTCGATACTTGATGATAAAGAATCAGTTTCCTCTCATAAGAGATCAAAAAGGTACTACAAAACACAAATTAGTTTACATAACCTCAACTAATGGTTATAGGACACACATTATTGGTTCACACAGTTCAACTCGAGGTAAGCTAATGGTCAAGAAGAAAATATATATTGGATTTCAGGTTTTCACGGCGCTGAGTCCTAAGTCAGGCAGAAACACTGATTAAGTTGTTTACCAACATGCATGGGTCCACACAGGCCCTGCTGTACCATGGATTACACTCAATCCGCGATATGGTCATGTGAACACGAGCATTCAAGGCAAAATATCTCTTTGGCATGATTATAATCTGTGATATAAATAGAGAGAGTTACTCTGTCAGCGTAAACATTCTGAACACATTCATTCCGCATTGAACATTTGAACTACTACCATGTAGTACAGCTTTCTGGTTGTGCATATCAAACGAAGTTTTTCAGTACCAATGATCACGTGTTCTCACCATCACTCCCGAAGAACAACGTGTTATATAGCAGCACTTTTACGTCAAAGCCCTTCAAGTTCCAGTTTCAGAACATGTCCGACATTATATCCAAAGCCTGGTCGCCCGAAAATTGATTTGGTTGCGCCTATTTATTAAGATGTCATATCTTGAAGTAGTAGTAGTCAAACCGAAGGCTTTGCAGTTCTGAAGTAGCTACATGCTTTGTGGACCCATCTGCGGGGTTTCTGAAAACATCTTACAAATAGTTCTCAGCCTTTAAGTGGAAAAAATGAGCAGCGAATCGGAATTAAAAATGAAAAGAAAATTAAATGTTAGAACAATTGACTTTCTGCGAAATGTGAGATTTTTTTCTAAAAACGTTTGGGGTGGGAAAAAGTATTACCACCCCTTCACAACCAAGGAACGTGCGCCATTTCGACGGAAGCGCCTCTACCGGCCCAGCTAGGGACCACGTATCATGATGGTGGGCCTGTGATCCGCACAGATAATCCCAGTCCGTAACGAGTCGACGCGCGGTAAACATGGTGGAGTGCAGATTTTATTTATAACGTGAAATTAATAGTCTTTATTGGAATGCACTGAACAACAGAAGAAATGTTCGTATTCTAATTTTGTGGGTGTGACACCATATGGAGATCAATTTACACAGCGGAATGGTGTCAGAAATTTCAGCTATGAATGAGAAAAAATCTGCAATGATTCTGTTTTAAATGTGTCATTTCGGTAAGTATCTGTTGTTAGTACGTTAATTTCCCGTCGTGGGTGTTAAGGAAGCAGTTTGCCGGTAAAGTTCGCAAAACATTTGCGAATGTAACACGTGTAAATGAATCGATCCTTTTAGAAACTGGAATGTTCGCGAAGAGATACTGATATTTTACGCGGATAGGAGTCAGACTGATAAGCTATGCAGGGTCATGAAATGGTTTTATCGCGTCTGGCATTAAAGGTGCAATCTCTTACATTTCCCTACTCTATTTGACAGTCTAACTTGCCTTCTTCTAGTATGACAATTTTAGAGAAACAGTAATTATGAATGTTTATTACGTAGATTTTTTAATTCTAATTGCTGTTTAAATTTGTAACACTGAATAATTATAATTAGTAAGTCGGAATGAATTTCAGTTGTGGAGTGTTTTACGGCACTATTTGACATAATTGATGGCTCTGATTTAAAGATCGTAAATACATGGTAATGACCCGCGTGTTTATAATTGCGTGTGTATGGTTCAGTTACATGTTAAATTGCTGTAACATCATTCGGAAGGAAGGTCATTTACGAAACACCGTGATTGCGTGGGGTTAGGTTAAATGAGAATGCGTGAATATAATATAAATAAAATTGACAGTGGAACCACGGTTCCCTAGTTACCGTTGAATAGCGTTTAACTGTAGAAATATATTTGTACTGAAATAAAATTCTAATGTATACCTTTACATCTTATCTATACGTGACGTCATCCGCCGACAGCTTATCTGTGTTGCGTCTTTGTTGCCAAATAAATGTCCAAAACTCCTAAACCGTAAGAGTTAGCTCAAATCTGTTTGCAAATTTGAAAAGCTCGTGTTTATTTACGTATTTCACTCGCAATATGTCCTGATCTATCTCTTACGCTTTAGACGTGGCAAGCGGTTGAAGTTAAGGAACGAGGGTATAGTTATTACGTGTTTTGGGTAATTATTTCAACAATGTGTAAAATATGCATTATAGAATAAAGTAAACATCATTTTACTCTTTAATTTACATATAGGTTTATATTTTCTATCTTACATAGGTCTCGAGTTATTGTCGTTCGAAGAAGTTACACACCAGCGTTACCTTACAGTTTCCGTCGAGTGTGCCGTGATTTTATAAACGTTATTCGACGTTAAAATAATATTTAGTCGAAGGTTCGTGTATTCTGTTTATACAAGGAAAGGTTTCGTACAGTGAACACCGAATGTTTCTAACCTTACTCTAAAGTTCGCTGTTAACATTTTGTTGATAGTTTGTCTTTATGTAATGGATATTTATAAAAAAAAATCACGAAGTTTATTTAGTAATGCATATAAACTATGAAGTTATGTGAAGAGTTCGTAATATAGTTTTCCCTCGACTGCTGTATTAGTGGCTAAGGAGCTGGCTTAATTCCAATAAACACACAACAGCACTAAATATTATACCAGAATGTAAGGCAGTTTGATTTTTAACCTTGCGTATTTGGACGCGGAAACCCTCCATCCGTCTGTATGCTTGGAACAACTCAAGAAAAGTCAAACTGATCTTACTTAAATTTGTCATTGGAGAATTTCACAAAATATTGTCGAGCCATTTCAGTTTTAATTTAGATCGGACACTTTTAAATACCACTGTACATAAGCGCACTGACGTTTCATTGAACTTAATCTGTCGAACGTGTCTGTGAAGTGTACACTGTCAGTTTTAATCCTGTTTATTATTTGTGTTCACGGGTGTACACACAGGGTGCTCCTGAAATACACGATATCATTTTAAGTGCGTGTTCTGTGCACAACAACAGTCTACAAAAAGTGCTCAAAGCTTTGCCTTGTGGTTTCACTCAGGCAGCGGACACGGCACGCTACTCGCATAGACCCCGCCGCGGTAGCCGGTTGTTCACGGCCCGCTTTTCCGCTGAAGTTTAAATTGTCTTATTTATTATATACGAGCCTCGAAGTGACGACCTTCTGCTTCTAAGTATGCCTCACATCTTGAGAATATGTAACTAGACACACACGTCGAAGATCAGCAATCAGTTGGTCGAAGAAGGGCGAGAGAACCAATCTCGCTTAACTCTCGCCCGTCTTCTGCCCTCTGTCGTAGTATACACAGTAGTGTTAACATGGCCCTGTAAATAAAAATACAGCTGATTTTAAGTCAGGTGATCTTGCCGGCCATAGCTAAAAACGAGGCGTCCGTGGACCCATTTTTATATAGACATATTTTGTTGTTATCGTGCATGTCAGAAACACCCTGTACTAGCAATCAGATAATGTAGATTTTGTTATTCCAGCCAGAGTATTGAGTAAATGTGCGAAGCTTTATAGACGAACCAGTCATGATCGCATAACCATTACACATCGTCAGATTCCAGAAGTGAGTCGTGTCTCAGTCCGTCTGTCCGTCAATAATCTCCGAATTCACTTGACGTATTTTGATAAAATGTATTCATGGTAAACACCGAAAATTATCAGACGAATTTTCGGTAAATCAGGGACAGTTACCACAGTTTTCGAAATATGTCTGTTGTTGTTTTTTTTGTTTTCAATGGCGAGTCTCACCTTTTGTGCGAGTACCCCTGTTTTACGTGAAATCCAAAATTGAAGTTTATCAAAGCATTCGAAATGGCATAAATTTGCACAAAACATCACGTGACGGATGTGTACGTTTTTATTTTAAAAACTATCGATAAGGTAAATATTTAATGAAGTACAAGACGGATGATTTTAGACTATGAAGTGCGCAAAGACTTAATTTCACAACAATTGGGCTATAATAACATGCAGGCCCTTAACCTGAGTTAATTCAACGTAGTGATGTCTGTAATGTGACTGTCTACGTCTAAAAATACACCGAGTCTTTAGCCAAGAGTCTTTTAACAAGCTGCAAACAGGCGGATATCTTCATGACGTTTACGATCTTTGAAAAAATTTCTATTGTCTGTGCGAGTTTTTAGTTTCCGGATCCTGAACCCAGATCAATAAACTTTCGACGGTTGTTACAAATATCCTTAAATACTGCACCCATTTCAAACCTTCATTGCATCTCCATAAATCTTCAAGCACGTAACATAATTTGTAGTTCATCGATAGAGTTAAACGCAACTGTTATTATCCGGCTCCCGGCTAGAACTACGTGACTCACGGCCGAATGCTATGAGGGTTTCCCGATAAAAATCAAGAATCTTTTAATAAAAAAGAATAAAATAAACGTAGCAATATCATAATATTTTCTGTCCGTAGCCGATGACAGTTGCGTTCAACTTTATAAGTTAATTTTGTTTTACTCCGACGCGTAAATTTGTGACGCAGGAAACGCACTGTTTGGTCCCGGTAAATTTACCGATATGCTACTGATAGGAATTCCTTCCGTGACTCGTCATTTTCATTGATAAATTTCCAGTCTGCCCCTGGCATTTCCGTAGCTCTGCTGCACTCTGGGCGGAAGAAAAGTAGGGCATGAAGAAGCGATAGACTCTTCCGCGTGAGCGAGGAGCCGGTTGGCTGGTATCGATCCGCGACTCGTCACCAGATACAGTCACGTGACGTGCTCGTAAAATTACTCTGCAGGCCTCGACTTACAACACAGTGCTGTAAACCTAGAATTTGATGCCTTAACAGTTCTGGCACAGATTTAAAGTTTATGTGTAACGTAATCTTCTGGGGGAAACGAAGACATTTCGCTGTGTTCCGTTTCGTTGTAATCAGCCAAATTCTTGATACGCTGAGGAAGTACTTTGCAACATGGCGTCTTAACAATTAAAATGTTATCTCTAACTTTATTATGTGGATGTAGACCTCTAGAATTATTGGGAGGCTGATAATTTTCAGATCCAGGTGAAAGGTTTACCTACTCCTTAAAAATGTCTTTCATGTGGATATTTTTCCAAGAGGTTTGCCTACAATTCTGTATGAATTTCGTGTCTTACGTAATCCGAACGTCACAAAATCTGTGTTAATTTTTCGTACAGTAGACCTCGTTTCCGATTATTGAGTACAGCAGGCAATTATACCTCTAGGAAAATCGTGTTCGGCCTTCTTTCAGAAAGTATCAGTGCTTCTGCGAAGTTTACATGAGGTAATATCAGTTGGCATGGGTGTGAGGTGAATGTATTGGCAATTGGCTGAAGTGCTACAAACAAGTGTCGTCATCTTTCCATTTAGCGCCATCCCTTTAAGTTTTCTAACGACTTGAGTCCTAGATCGTAAACCAAGATGGCGGAAGGCGAGTGCCAACCTGAGAAACAGCGTTATTCGAAGTTCTCACGGCTGTGTTCTGGGTTGTTGCTGATAGAAGTTTGTCTACTTCACATTCCAGTTTCTGTTGTAAAAATCTGGAAGGGGGGGTCTGTCGTTCTGACGCGGCTGTGAAAATGAAAATTCTCCCTTGCCGTCTGTCGACAT